CTGAATCTCAGCTTCTAATTGCTTCTTTTTTTCACTTTCTTCACACAGTCTCTTCGGCACCTCATTCTGCTCAAGTTCTGTTGCTTCTCTCTCACTTTGGTTAGATAATGAAGCCAGATTCTTAATGTCTTGCTACTTCTTCTGTAAGCCCTGAATGTTCATGTCAAATTTCAGCTTAATCGCAGGAGCACTTCTAACTAAAATATGACTTGACTTCAAACTTTATTCCACTGAATTAAGAGCCAGCAAGACTTACTAACTTCTGCCCAAACAACCACTTGTTATTGCAGCGGTTTCTGAGATATCTGGTAAAATCAGCACAGGCAGAATTGAGCAACATGAAAAGGTAAAATACAGTCCATGCCTAGAAATACAGTGAAATTAGTAAAACCCAACAGAAAGCACAGCTCTGTTGAATGTGCAGAGACACAATGGTGTCAGGGTGCTGGTGCCAGAATGCTGGTCCTTATCTCGTCAATAAACTCACTACCTCTTTCTGTATGGAACTTTTCTGACCCACCATTCCAGGACTGAGATATGCACAGGATACCTATGCTGGCTCTACACAGAGTTTAAACTTACGTGTAGCAAAACTTAAGAAAATAAAGTCAGTGTCAATCAAATGTGACTGTATTGGGCCTGGTCTTGCAAACCATCAGAGGGATTTGCTTAGAGCTGGAATTTATATAGTGTTTTCATAAAACATCAATTTTATTAATGACAGGTAATAAACCTGTTACAGCTTCCTTGTGTGGATTCTTTTATGGTACACACAATGGTATGGACATCGTGTATTTCCCACTTCTTCCTTGGTTTCTTATCTACCAAGAAAATATTGTATGTATCTAACTATGTATGTGTTAAATAACATTCTGATTGTAATAGTATTAAGTTTCTCATTAGCTACTTCAACCAGTTTCCAATGTGTAAATCTGTTGAGAGTTTTACAGAGTGTTAAGATTCAGGTAAGACAGAGAGAGAGAGATTTGTGGTCAGATCAGAAATACCTGCACTTTCAACTTAGCTGCACTGATCTTCTTCTGG